CCCTCTCTCTCAACCCCTCCCACATAATCATGTCACTCCCACAAACGTCTACATATGCTTCCTACACTTACACTTTCTGCTCATCACAATATTGCTAAAACCCCATTCTTTATTCCCAGGACCATAAATATCAAACACAACAGATGTCTAAGCTAAAATGAAAACACTCCTTACTTTGGATATTTACAAAGTATGTTAGTTTTCAAATATTATGTGTGAGCGTCTGAAGAAAAGTCCCATTTGTTGGAAACTTTGGATACTGAAGTAAGGACATATTATTCAGGCAGCAAATTCAACGCTGATCACCTGACTTTGGCGGCCCTTTTATCGCCAATTTCACGACTGAAACCAGGCGACCTCCTTCAATGGCAAATATCTACAGTTCTATTCAAGACAGATTGATATTTATTTCATTGGGAGCAAGGTAAATAAATCTGCTTTCAGATGATACCAATAACTCCACATGCCTAAAAACTGACGAGTGCCTGATTCCACCGCGTCGTGACACATACGTTGTCAAAAACTTTGGATACTGAAGTAAGGACGTATTATTCTGGCTGCAAATTCAACGCTGATCACCTGACTTTTAGTTTATCAAAAATTTTGAGTAGTTTAAAGATGCTACATCTTGTAACACAAGAGAGTAAAAAAACAACATTTAGAGAAAAAACAATTTCTTGCACATTTTTAACCTTCTTGAAGTACATGCTGTGAAAATAATTCATAAAAATATTTAGAATTAAAATATTGTAATTTTCTTTCAGCATGTTTTTAAAAAGTAGTTCAATGTGCGTTTTCTGATGGAACTACATTCACAAGGTGGGACTTTTTGGGCTTTTCCCCTCGTGCTCAAAGATAGCTTTGTCCACAACTGGGGGCTTTCTCCAGGCATACTCACACACACTCACACACATACACACACACACACACAGAAACAGACACACACACACACCCACACACACCAGAAACTCTTGTAGATACCAAAAACATGATATTTCTACCAAATTCTGAACCTGAAAAAATGCAGCAGTTTCACCACATCTTTCACATTTGCTTTTACCAATTCCCTATTTAAGTAAATTCACCAAAGAGCAAGACATAACAGTCAACAAAACACACACCCAAATAGGCAGGATTATGTGGAAATCTTTTTGTTAAGTTCAAATTCCACAATGTATGTGTTTTGAATACAAATAAAATGATGCATATATATATATATGTATGTATTTACTGAGAAAAAATCAGGACCTGAAGTTGTGTTCACTATGTGTGCAAGTTTCCTAAGTAAGTGTTCAGAAAGTGAGCGCTAGATCACAGACGAAATGTTTGTCGCCTTTTTTGTCTATTTATTGTGATTTTTGTATTTTGAGCATTGATAAATAAATAAACACACATATATATATACTGGCTGGGTTTCCCGTTAATGAACGGACTCAAAAGAATCGATCGTCAAGTCATTGTGGGATCAGTGCACGCACTCTTTGTGAACGGAAGCCTCACTTGTTAACAATGGCGTCTTAGAAGACGGACTTTCCCAAGATTACATCTAAACGAAACTAATGAACAACTGAAAATTAAACTACAGTGACTTTAGACTCCTCAGTAAAACTGTGCACCCTTTTTTAAATGATTCTGAACCAACGTTAATTTGTTCAAATTTGAAAGTTAGTTTAAGGAGGCCAAAGTGACGGACTTTCACAAATATAATGTGAATATATAAATATATATATGTTGGGTGCGTTCATTTTTTCATATAGGCCTGTTGAGTGCAGTGTAGTGAAGAAGAAAATAAAACAATCATTCAGCATGTGCTCGGCATTCTTCCAGTTATCCGGCCCACTTTGGGAACAGTCTGGTGACCTGCGCTGTCAGCAGAGGGAATGTGGCAGGACGGAGCGCAAGGAACATTGGTGGACAACGACCTTGGACAACCACCAGTACGCTGACGGAGTGTGGCAGGAAGTGAGAGCTAGGACATCTGAGGACAAAGCTCAGCACAACATCGTGGGCTCGGGGGGTCAGATCATCACAGACTTGTCTTTGACAAACGCGTCCAGTGTCTTCTTACACACGTTCCTGGTGGGGGTGGGGGGGAGACAAGTTGACATAAGCTGAACAAGATGCGATATGACAATAATAATAATTATATATATTAATAATAAATTTAATAAGAATATTAATAATCTTGGTTACAGGCCTGACATTCTAACCTCTACACCACAGATGCCAATGAAATGAATTGGCATAAATCTTGGTATAGTTGTTTATGAACAAATCTAAGTCATTCATTCTGATGTCGATTTAATATTTAGTCATATTGATTAACACAAATAATACAACATAATGCTTATCTGCCAGCACTTCCTCAACAGGCAGAACTATTGTACAAGATCCATAATAAACAATTAAAGTTTAGTTTTAGTAAGAGCTTTACGGCGCTTGCAACACAATAAGGTCATATAAGTGCTGAAGATTAGAGGTGTTACAAGAGAGTAACAAACACAAAAAAGAAGGAGGGGAAAAAAAGACGATAGATGTTTGATAGGAAAGAAGGAGCAAACCACACCAGAGCACTCGCCAACCACCCACAATAAACAACCAAATCACATCAAATGAACCAATCAACATGAACAATTGGACACTAGCACTTGGCAAGAATAAATAGTAAACCTCCGGAGTCGGATATGTAAACTGTACTTGACATCAGATGACCACAATTATGTGTGGTATATGGTAATATAATTGCTGGTTGGGGGAGTGGGGGGGGGGGGGAGAAGGGTTTGTAGTTTAACATTGTTCTTGGATAGGTCATACCATAATTATTTGGACAAATCTTCAACCCTATTCATACGTCGTGTTTTACTATCGTATCCATACGACATGAGGAACTCTGTGCCACCACTTCCAAAGAAGAAATTTACTCGTTAATCCGATCCGTAGGCTTTGCATAGCAGTTTGTCAAAATGATTTTTTGAGAAATACTGAAAGTTTCACAGAGATCTTTGTATTAGAAGTATTCTAAAAAATGTGAAGAATACAACCCCGGAGGTACAAAATGACCTCGGGGCGTATGGATAGGGTTAAACGTTAAAAAGCTGTAAAAATAGCCCAAGTCGAAGGATGCACTACGGTCCACTCACCTCATGGCGTAGGTCGGGATTTTGGAGGAGAAGAGGACGAAGATCTGGTAGTTGCCGCAGATGTGGGCGTAGCATTTGTGGCTGGAGTAGACGGTGTAGGAGTCCGTGATGGTGTGTTTCACATCTGTGCTTGCTGTGGATGGGTGGATGGATGGATGGATGGATGGATGGGTGGATGGATGGATGGACGGAAGGATGGATGGGTGGATGG